CATACATGTATTTTTAGTACTAGTACATTTGTTAAAAATTTTTTTTGCAGCCGGGCTCGGTGGCTCAGCCTGGAATCCCGCGCCTTTGGGAGGCTGAGGTGAGTGGATTGCCTGAGCCCGCGGGTTCGAGACCCGCCTGGGCGGCGAGACCTCATCTCTACAATAAATTAAAAAATCAGCTGGGCGTGGTAGCGCATGCCTGTAATTCCGGCTACTTGGAAGGCTGAGGCGGAAGGATCGCCGGAGCCCAGCAGGTCGAGGCTGCGGTGGCCGGGAGCGGCCACTGCACTCCAGTCTGGGCGACGGAGTAAGACTCCAACTGAAAAAAAAAAAAATTTTTTTTTGCATTAGTACAAATAAGTCATACAAATCGGGACATGTGAGGCCCTTAATTTTGTTTCTTTTTCTTTCTTTTTTTCTTTTTTTTTGAGTTGGAGTCTCACTGTCACCCAGACTGGAGTGCACTTTCTCCTTCTCTCTGTTCAATCTTAGAGGAAAAGCCATAGGTGGCAACAAGAAGGCAGCCACCTCACCAGAAACCAAATTTGCCAGTATATTAATTTTGGACTTCCAGCCTCCAGAACTGCGAGAAAATAAAATAAATTTCTGTTGCTGAAACTACCAAGTCTGTGGTATTTTTGATGGCATCTCTACCAGACTAATATACTTTGCATAGTATTGCCATCTTTACAATAAGAAAGACTTCCAATCCATAAACAAAGGATGTCTTTCCATTTTTTAGATCTACTTTAACTTCCTTTAGCAATCTTTTGTAGTTTTTAACCTTTCATGTATGATACAGTTTAGACGTTTTCCCCCTCAAATCTCATGTTGAAATGTGATCCCCAGTGTTAGATGTGAGGCAAATGGGAGGTCCCCAGGTCATGGGATGAATCCTTCATGAATGACTTGGTGCCATCCTTGCAGTAATGAATGAGTTCTCACTCTTTTAGTTGATGTGAGAGTTGATTGCTTAAACGAGCCTGGCAGCCGGGCTCGGTGGCTCAGCCTGTAATTCCGCGCCTTTGGGAGTGGATTGCCTGAGCCTGCGGGTTCGAGACCTGCCTGGGCAGTGAGACCTCATCTCTACAATAAATCAAAAAATCAGCCGGGCGTGGTAGCGCATGCCTGTAATTCCGGCTACTGGAAGGCTGAGGTGGAAGGATCGCCGGAGCCCAGCAGGTCGAGGCTGCGGTGGCCGGGAGCGGCCACTGCACTCCAGTCTGGGCGACAGAGTGAGACTCCGACTCAAAAAATAAATACATAAATATAAAAGAGCCTGGCACCTCCCTTCTCTCCCTCACTTCCTCCCTCACCATATGACACAACAGATCCCCTTCCCCTTCCATCATGATT